ATGATCAAGGGGACTTGAAGGGTTGTAATGTTGGAAAGCGAGGCCAAATGAACTAACAAGTGAAATGCATGAGTAGTAAAGTATCAACTCAAAGTGAGCTAAAGTACAATCATGAAAGAACACCAATGTGCAGATTTTAACCTTTTGAGATAAAAATCCTTGCTCTTCAAACTAACTTTGAATGCCTTATTTCAAATTTATTCTTTTGTTACAACTTATTTTCTTTTTTCTATTTTTTTTTATAACTTTCTTTCTTTGGGTTTTTCTAAACATTTTCTTCTTTTTATTGCCTTTTTCTATTTCTTTTTCTTCTTCTTTTTTTTTGCTTTTTTTTTTTGGTATCCAAACCCAAGAAGGCAAAGATATAGACTTTAATGATGTACTTTTCAAAGTGAAAAACCAAATGTAACTCATGCAAGACACTTGCTAAAAAGCAATGAACGAAATGAAAGTGAAGGCTTAAAGGGGTGAACAAAGGTTAAATGAAATAGCTTGTGTTTAGGTAAAGGGTTTAGAAATGAATGCCCCTATCATCCTCACAAATCTAGATATTAATGCGGCTTTGAAAAAGAATCTAGACAAGTTCTAGAGGTTAATCAAAACTAGGTGAAAATCACACAAGATAAGAAAGAATATATGGCTCAAAAATCCTTCCATCAAGGCTTTCTCCAATATGTTTCCTCCTTAAGGTCAAGCTATGAAACAAGGTTAACAACACTGCTCCAAAGGCATTCTACTATGCTAATCAACTAAGAATAGAAATCAATCAAATCAAATGCAATCAAACTCAGCCGTGCAATATTCACAAGCATTGTTCAAAAGGATTTTAAAAGAGATGTCCAAGGATTATAAAAGTCAAAAGTCAGCAACAAAGAAAACAACAACTTGCCCATGCAGCAGTGCAGAACACTGAGGTGAATGAAAGCAAGAGGACATAGAAACTAGCAACAAAATTCCCAAGCAAGAATTACTCTCAAATCATGCGATGCTATTCAGAAATCAACCAATAAGGCAAAGAAGAGAGCAATTATGGTAGCAATACTAGAAAACAGGAGCAAATCCAAAGGCAAAAAAAAAAAAAAAAGAAATTTCCCAAAACAGCTCAACAACTCAACAACAATCTCTCCCCCACACTTGATTAATATATTGTCCTCAATGTAAGAAAAACAACATTATCTTAACCTAAACTCTCAGGTGAAGTGGAAGTTGTGAAGTCCGATTTGAAATCAAAGCATAACACATCACTATCATGAAGAAGAGAGAAGAGAGAGATAGGATAAGATAATGTGAAAAGAAAATAGACAAGTATAAATCAAGTGATCAAAAGAGATGGCAGAATCAAAAGGAAACAAAACAAACAACTACTAAACAGAAATAAACAGTTACAACTACAACTACTAGAGAAGTTCCCTCCCCTACACTTACTCCTAACTAGCTCAACAAATAGATATCACCAGCAATACAATAGAAAGTAAAAGAGCAGGGTGGAAGGGAACAACCTTGTGATCAGGTGGGTCTTTGATCCTCGTGGTAGTGCTTCAACAGAAGGCCATTGACTTGTGAAGTTATACCGGTCTCCTCATCTACGAGCTCTATCGTACCAAAGGGATATACTTTAGTAACTCTAAACGAACCTTCCTACTTGGTGACAAACTTCCCAGGCATCAGCTTCAACCAGGCTTTAAACTTTAGAACCTTGTCACCTTCATAAAATTGCTTCCTCAGAATTTGTCTGTCATGAATCATTTTCAGCTTGTCTTTGTAGATTTTGGCATTGTCATAGGATTCAAGTCTCATTTCTTCAAGTTCTTGGAGTTGCATCTTTCAATTGACTAGTGAAGATTCGAGATCTGCATCACATGCCTTGATTACCCAATAAGATTTGTGTTCGATCTCCACAGGTAGATGGCAAGCCTTGCCATAGAGCAACCGGAAGAAAGGACATGCCTATAGGGGTCTTGTAGGCAGTCCTGTAAGCCCAAAGATCTTCCTCAAGCCTTTCACTCCAGTCCTTATGGGATGGTTTCACAATCTTCTCAAGTATTCGCTTCACTTCCCGATTAGAAACTTCAGCTAACCCATTAGTCTGAGGGTAATAAGGAGTGGCCAGCTTGTGGTTGACTCCATGTTTAGCCAATAAAGACTTGATGGTCCTGTTGCAAAAGTGTGTTCCTTGGTCACTGATGATTGCTCTTGGAATGCCATACTTGCAAAAGATATGAGAACTTAAAAACTTGGCAACAGTAGAAGCATCATCTTTCCTAGTTGGCATTGTCTCTACCCATCAAGACACATAATTTATTGCAAGTAATATGTATGAAAACCCAAAAGACGAAGGGAAGGGACCCATTAAGTCCATGCCCCAGACATCAAAGATTTCACAAAAATGCAAAGGTCTTAGAGGCATCTCATGCTTCCTACCCAAACTCCCAAACCTCGGACGCTTATCACAAGACTTGCAGAAAGAATAAGCATCCTTAAATAGAGAAGGCCAATAAAAACCACACTCTAAAACCCTCCTAGCAGTCCTATTGGCACTAAAATGCCCCCCACAAGATAAAGAATGTGTAAAGGTAAGGATAGAGTGGATCTTATTATTTGGAACACAGCGTTTAATGATCTGGTCATTGCATTGCTTCCATAGGATTTGAGCATCCCAGATATAGTATCTTGCCTCCCTCTTTAACTTATCAATCTCAAATTTAGACATAGAAGGAGGTATAAGGCCAGTGACAAGATAATTAACTATATTAGAATACCAAGGCTCATGAATAGCCAAGGCAAAAAGTGCAGAATCAGGAAATGAGTCAATAACAAGTCAGAAGAGTCAACTCCCTGTGTGCCTTCAAGTAACGGACTAAGGTGGTTAGCTATATGATTCTCTGCTCCGGCTCTATCTTTAATCTCGATATCAAACTCCTGTAGCAGCAAAGCCCATCTCAGCAGTCTAGGTTTAGACTGAGGCTTCTTAAATAGGTACCGAACCGCTGCATGATTTGTAAAAACAACCACTCAAGAGTTTATAAGATATTGTTTAAACTTATCCAAAGTAAAAATAATAGCAAACAGTTCCTTCTCTGTGGTGGTGTAATTCACTTAAGCGGAATCAAGTGTCTTGGAGGCATATGCGATGACTCTAGACTGTTTCTTCTCCCTCTGTCCAAGCATAGCACCAACTGCAAAGTTAGAAGTATCACAAGACAACTCAAAATGTAAATTCCAGTTAGGTGCAATGAGAATAGGATGTGAAACAAGCATAGATTTCAAAGTGTCAAAAGCATGCCTATACTTGTCATCAAATTTAAATTCAACATCTTTTTTTAACAAGGTAGAAAGAGGCAAAGGACCTTTACTAAAATCCTTAATAAAGCGCCGATAGAAACCTGTATGCCCTCAGAAAGACCTCAAGTCCTTTAAACAAGTAGGATAAGAAAGGGATGAATAACGTCAATTTTGGCTCTATCAACCTCAATCCCCTTTTAAGAGATGAGGTGACCTAAGACTATCCCTTTATCAACCATAAAATGACACTTTTCAAAGTTTAAAACCAATTTTTTTATCAATATACCTCTCAAGAGCCTACTCTAGGCTATTCAAGCACTCCTCAGAACTCTTACCGTAAATAGTGAAGTCATTCATAAAAACCTCCATGTCTGCTCTAGAAGATTACTAAATATCACTATCATGCACCTTTGAAAAGTGCCTGGAGCGTTACATAACCTAAATGGCATCCTTCAATAAGCAAAGGTACCAAAAGGGCATGTAAAAGTAGTTTTGTCCTGATCTTCAAAAGCAATGGGCACTTAAAAATAGCCAGAAAAACCGTCCAAAAAACAATAGTGAGACTTTCCTGAAATTCTCTCCAACATCTGATCTATAAAAGGTAATGGAAAGTGGTTCTTTCTCATGGCATCATTCAACTTCCTATAATCTATACATACTCTCTAAGCATTTTGAACCCTAGTTGGAATCAGTTCATCATTTTCATTTCTCACTATTGTGATACCGCTCTTCTTTGGTACTACTTGTACCGAACTTACCCACTCGCTGTCTGATATGGAATAGATGATCCCAGTACTCAACAACTTTGAGACTTCCTTCTTAACCACATCCAGAATGAGAGGATTTAATCTCCTCTGTGGTTGCCTAACTGGCTTGGACCCTTCATTCAAAAGGATCCTGTGGGTGCGAACTGATGCCCTAGTCATTGGAATGTCCCCTAAAAACCATCCCATAGCCCTTTATGACTCTTTAACACAGAAATCAATCATTCTTCTTCAGAACTATTCAAAGAACTGGAAATAATAACAGGCAATTTAGAATCAGCAACAAAAAAGACATATTTCAAATTAGGGGGAGGGGTTTCAGTTCTAAATCAGGAGGTTGCACAACAGAAGGAACTAATTCTTTTATGTCAAGTGCATTCAATGCAAGTGGCATATTTATGTGGCTTGGGGAAGGAGATATAAGCTCATCATGATGTGTATGTCCTCCACTTCCCAACTCAGTGCCATTCTTGGATGACCTACAAAAAAGATTATCGGTATCAATTTTATTAACAGAAACATTAAGTAAATCACAAGGAAGAGTGGGATTAGAAGTGACTAAGTGAGTAACAATCTTGTTGCTAGCCTTTTCTAATGTTCCAATACCACTCAAAGGAGAAGCTACCGGTGTAGCTTGTGTAACAACTCCTTTATCATCAGTACCTACAGAATCAATAAACTCGCCTTTCTCAATGCTATCATTAAGTGTAATGTTCAAGGTAGAATCACAGTTAAGACAAGATGATGCATCAAAATCATGAGAGATGGAAAGGAGGTGATCGACTTCTAAACAGTTAACACACACCACGTCACCATAACATGAGCAAAAAGAAGAAGAATAAGGGGTAGATAAACAAGTAAATGCATCATCATGCTCAACAATCTCATCATACCAGTCATGTTCATGCATCTCAGATTCATGCAAATCATCAACATCATTAATAGCACAATCAATCAAATTAACACCCAAGTAAGAGCAATCTGTATAACATTGACTAATAGCATCAGAAATGTTGAAGGTAATCTGTTGATCCCCAAAGCCCATGGTAATAACCCCGTCTTTCACATTAATTATAGTCTGGGCTGTTCTAAGAAAAGGTCTTCCTAGAATCAAAGTGTTATCGACTTTAATCTCATCAGTCATATCTAGCTTATAAAAGTCAGCTGGGAACACAATACCCTTCACTTGCACAAGAACATCCTTAAGAAAGCCCTTAGGATGTCTCATAGTCCTATCAGTTAGACCTAGCACAACACTGGTGTCTTTCAAGGCATAGATACCTAAACTCTCATAGATAGAGGTAGACATAGCATTTATGGCTACACCTAAGTCCAATAAGGCATGTGAAATGTTTATTTTGTCTATGGTACAGGGAATAGTGTAGGAACCTGGGTCTTTACACTTAATAGGTAGCCGTGGCTTAAAGATAACACTAATACTAGACCTCAGTTGGATTCTCTTACTGTGCCTATATTTCCTCTTGTTTGTACATAGATCTTTCAGAAACTCAGCACACTTAGGCATCTTCTTAATCAAATCAAGTAATGGCACATTAACCTCAAGTTTGCTAAACATTTCAAAAAGCTCATCATTATCTTTCTTTTCAACAACCTTCTTACTCATGAGATATGAATGAGGAAAAGGCAAGTTAGAAATGTTTACCTCATCACCTTTGGGAGGTGATCCTTTCTCTATTGGCTCTTTGGATTGAATGGAGGTCTCTTGAGTAGCCTTGGGAATGTCTTGAGTGGTTTTAGAAGGAGGAGACTCAACTTCTATCTCTTTGTCAACCGGTTCTTCATCCTCTTCATCTTCTTTGAATTGCACTTTCTTAGCACCAATTTCCTTACCGCTTCTCAATGTAATTGCATTCAAAGATTTATGATTTAGCCTTAACTTGTTGTTCACTCATACCATTTGACAACTTAGTGACATAAGAAGTCAAATTAGAGGTTCTAGTTTCCCATTGCTCCATCCTATTCTCTAGGGCTGTAAATCTAGCTTCAGATTTAGCTTCAGACTTAGATATGTGCTCAGTCTTTCCCTCAATGCCCTTGAGTATTCAAGAGAACCGCTCATCATCCTTAGACTGTGGTTGTTGTGGGGTAGACATAGCTCTAAAAGATTCTCCTTGTAACCCTCTATAGTAAGATTGCCCTTAAGAACCATATTCCCTTGAAACCTTTCTTAACCTGCCTATTGTCACTTCCTCCCTATCAGAAATTTGGATGAGCTTCCCATCTTTCATTATATGTATTTGAGTATGGGTTCCATTACTTAGATTAATTAGCCCTTCCTTGATACATGGCGGAAAATTCCTCATATCTATGAGGGCAAGCAACAGAGATGTGCATAACAGAGTTACAATGCTCACAACTAGGTGCAGTTATCTCCATAGAATTAGGATTTCGAGTATTAACAGGGGGAGTGTGAGATGCAAGCTTATTCAACTGTGTCGTCAAAGCAGCAATTTGAGAAGTGAATGTGTCCAATTGAGAAATGTGGACTGAAGAAGGATTAGTATGCATTGCATTGACACTTTTAGACTCCCTAATATTATGTTGTTGATGGTTCAAAGCCATTTTCTTGATAAGTTCCCATGCCTCCTTAGTAGTTAAATCAATGAAAGAACCCCTAGAAGCAACATCCAACATCCCCTTGTCTTGGGTCTTAAGTCCATCATAAGAGTATTGGACTAACTACTCATCTGGAATTTGATGGTGTGGACATCTAGAAAGCAAGTCCTGAAAAAGGTTCTAGTAGTCATAAAGTGACTCATCATAGTCTTGCTTTACAAAGTAGATCTCTTTTCTCAATGTGAAAGTCTGGGAAGCAGGGAAATACTTCTCCAAGAATGCTTTTCTGAGGTTGTTCCAGTTATGGTAGGCATCCGCCATATGCCTAGGCAAGCTCATGTACCATTCTCGCGCTTTACCCTCCAGAGACAAGTGGAATACCTTCCAAAGAACCTCATCCAAATTAGCCCCAACCGGCTTCATGCTAGAACATACCATAGAGAGAGATTTCAGATGATTGTATAGGTCCTCACTTGTCAAACTATAGAATTTAGGCAAATAATTAAGCAGTGGACCTTTAATCTCAAAATTGACATCAACACTAGGGCATGCAACATTAAAAGGATCATAATTTGCATTAGAAGTAATGACTTCCCTAATGGTTCTTCTTCTAGGGTTACCTCCATTATCCTCTCCTACTCTATCAAGTTCCCCATTATGTCCATTACCCCCTCTGTCATTACTACCATTGTTGTTACTGTTAGGATTGTTAACAGTTTCCATTATGTCACCTAAGTTAACCACCAAATCTAGACCAGTTAAATTGTCTAGTTCAACCTCACTAGTCATTTCTATCCTTTAGTCTTGTCTAACTTCTCTTAAAGAACTTTGAAGCTCAGGATTGGAAGGAACTAAGGTTTTAGACCTACCCCTTCTTGGCATAAACAATCAACCAACCAGAAGCAATTAAGCCAAAAAAAAAACAAATGAATGCAGTGGAATGCAAGTGTATGTGTATGAGAATGAAAATGCAAGAGGTAAAATGAAAATGAAAATGAAAAATGCAAATGAATGAAAAATCAAGATATTTAGTTGTGTTTTTGAAAAATTTTATATGTAAAGGAAAGAAATGCTATGAAAAATCAAAAGAAACAAATGCAAACTACTAAAGAAAATGCAAAAACTAACAAAAATGAAAACTAAAAAGGCTTAACAAATGAACCCCAATCAAAGTTACTTGACACTTAATTACTAGGGAACCAATTTCCTAGCTCCCCGGCAACAGCGCCACTTGAAGTAAATTGCCCTTAATTTGCCGCTTTGGGGTTACTCCAAAAATTAACCGAATTAATATAATATAGTGCACAATCCGAGTCGTATTCACTTTGAGGAGCCAAAAATGAAATTAAATCCTAGTAAATAAATGCAAGTAACCTAAACTATAAAAAGAATTTTTGATTTGATAATTTCTAATTAAACACCATGAATTAAATTGAAATTAAAATACTTTTTTTTGTTTTTATATAAAAATGATCAAAATGAATGAAGATTAAAGAAATGAAAATGAAACACACAAATAACAATAATAATAATCAATCCTCCAATTCAACAACGCAGGCAATCCTTACTCCAAAAGGTATGGGAGTTAAAATAATGAATTTAGAATTATAATTAAGCTTTTAATCCAACAACCGAGCCACCTCGAATTGCCACAAAATATTTTCCTAAAATCCCAACTTACTAACTGTAACCAGAATAGTAAAATGGGATTAAGGATGCTAAAAACCAATACTTAATTAGAACTCTTAAATCCAAAACAACAGAATTAAAGCTAGCAAGAGACAATATGATCCAAGATTCTAAGCCACCTCAGAAAATCACAATATATTAACTCCAAAATCAATACAAATGTCATAACCACAACATCATCATTGAAATCAAAGCTATAAACAGCGCAATGTCAAATGCTAAACAATAATCCAGTCACAATAATCTCCAAATATAATCAGATTAAACAATAGAAATTTTCCAATAATCAGAATAACTATCCTAAGACCTAGGAATTGTTAAACAATTATTAGACAGGAAATTAAAGTAACTAAACTGCCCTTTGATGATCCGAGCTCCTGCCATTGTTGTTGAATTAGAGAATTATAGAACCTTAGCCACGGATTGCCATGAGAATTACTGTGATCAATATTCTGCTACAAAGTTCCATAGGGAAGATGGTGGTACTGGTGATTCTGTGAAAAAACAATGAAGAAGCCGAAGATGATGCTAATGGCGCCGTCCAGCTCCTGCTCATATTTGCCTCCCGTCAAGCTCTTCCACTCCACCGTCGCTGTTCGTGCTCTTCTCTGTTCACACTGCTGTCACTGATCTGTTCGTGCTGAAAACAAAGGAAGGTGATGAAGTCGCCTCTGGTTCGCTATTTCTGTTCCACCGCCAAGCACCCTCGAGTGTCTCCCTGTCCTTCTCGCCGTCTTCTCTCTGCCACTACTGAGAAGACGCAGAGAAGATGAATGGTGAATGGGGAGAATGTCGTCAATGGTCTTGCCCCTAGTTCATCCTTCTGTCGTTAGCTCCTCCGCTCGTCTCGCCTTGCTCTGTTTTTTTTTTTTTAATTTTCTCTGCCACCGTTTAGCTCCCTCTTCACGTCCAATAAAGATGATGAATATGAATATTGGATATTAGTGATGGGAGCAAAACGCTGCGTTTTGCTCCCCCCTTTATTATTTTTTTCTTTTTTTAATTTATTTTTTTCCTTTCTTTTTTTTATTTTTAAATCTTCCAAAAACCTGCAAACAAAATTCAAGGATAAGGTAGCATTAATTGTTCTTAAAAATCAATTAATCATAATTAAATCAAAATATGACAATTTTGCCCCTATAAAATAATAATTCAAAATAAAACATATTAAATCAATTAACAAGCAATTAAGGTCAAAAGGGACTAATTAAGTTGACAAAACCCATATAGAAGATATCAAAATATATAAAAATAATTGAGTTTGTCAATGAGTACATGTGAAGCTGACCGTCTTGAGGAGATGACAAATGCGATTGAATGGGAACTTAACGATTGTCCTGAAATGTTTGACAGATTGAAGTGTGATGCTAAGAAACCTCTATATGAAGGTTGTACCAATTTCACAAAATTATCTGCAGTGTTAAAACTGTATAATTTGAAGGTAAGAAATGGGTAGAGTGACACAAGGTTCACAGAACTGCTGTTGCTTGTTAAATAAATGCTATCGAAAGAAAATGAGCTTCGAAGCAAAATGTATGACGCAAAGCAAGTGTTGCGCTCTGTCGGCCTCAGCTATGAGAAGATACATGCTTGCCCCAACGATTGCATTTGTTTTAGGAAGGAGTATAAGTCACTAAGTGAGTGTCCTAAGTGTAATGCATTGCACTACCAAGAGAATGGGAAGAGTCCGAAGAAGGCATTATGGTATTTTCCCATTATGCCAAGATTCAAACATTTGTATAGTAATGTAGAAGATGCAAGAAATTTAAGGTGGCATGTGGATGAAAAGATTAAAGATGGCATGCTTCGGCATCCTACTGATTCTCCAGAATAGAAGAAGTTTGATATTGAGTATTCTGAATTCAAGGAAGAAGATAGAAATCTACGCCTTGCATTAGCCACCGACGGGATGAACCCGTACGGGATGCAAAGCAGCACCCATAGCATATAGCTAGTGATTTTATTAACCTTCCTCTATGGTTATGCATGAAACGTAAGTATTTGATGATGTCTATGATAATCTCTGGGCCAACGCAACCGAGAAATGACATAGATATATATATCTAGCTCTATTAACTGAAGACTTGAAAGTATTGTGGGAGAATGGAGTTGATGTATATGATGCATATAAGGAAGAAACATTCAAGTTGAGAGCTATGTTGTTTGGCATAATTAATGACTTCCCTGTGTATGGTAATCTCTTAGGGCATAGCTTTAAAGGGCAACTTGGTTGTCCTATTTGTGAAGAGAGCACAGATTCCATAAGGTTAAAGCATGGAATGAAAAATTTATATATAGGACATCGTAGATGGTTGCATTGTGATCATCCTTACCGGCGATTTAAAAAATATTTCAATGGGAATTCGGAAGAAGGTAAGGTACCTACACCGTTGATTGGGGAGGATGTATTTCAAAAGGTGAAAGATATAGATTGTGGATTTGGAAAACCTTTTGCGAAGCATGTGGGGACAAGTTGGTGAAAGAAGAGGTCTATTTTCTTTATACTGTCGTATTAGATAACCCTGAATGTGAGACATTTTCTTGATGCTATGCATATTGAGAAAAACGTATGTGAAACTCTGTTTGCAATATTACTCCATCTTCCTGGGACTACTAAAGATGGCATAAATGCGAGGCTAGACATGGTTGAGATGGGGATAAGGGAGGAATTGGCACCAGAGGATAAGGGAACTTGCACATTTCTTCATCCGACGGCGCACAAGCTTTCTAGAAAAGAGAAAAGTAGCTTTTGTGAGTTTCTTGCTTCTGTAAAAGTGCTGAAAGGTTACTCTTCTAACATTAGTAACCTTGTTTCAATGAAAGATTTGAAGTTAAAAGGTTTAAAATC